TAGCGCGGGAGGCAGCGAAGCTGAGCAATAAGAGGGACCTCAAATGAAAGAGGAGCGCACCTCGGACCGGCTCCTCTCCAGTTTTGCGCCGAGTCTGTCCGCCGATCTACCGGACGGTGCGATCCGAAGCCATGGAAGAAAAGTCCAATTCGTTCGCCGGCAGCAAGGACGAAAAAGCGGATGGGAATAATGCGTTCCAGAGGCAGGACTCGATGCAGAAGAATAACATGGGGAGCCAGAACATGAAAGATCACGCCAACTCCGTGGGTTTTAAGATGGATAGGGACGAAGCCATGGTCGGTCTCGATGATATGGATGGGGGGTCCAGGCAGTACGGCTTCATACAGCGGCAGTTCGGGGCGATGATGCAGCCGGGGGTCAATAAGTTCTCCTTACGAATGTTCGGCAGCCAGAAAGCTGTGGAAAAGGAGCAAGAGAGAGTGCAATCGGCCGGATACTGGATCATCCACCCATACAGCGATTTTAGGTAAGGAGCGTAAAGTCACCTTCTCCCCCGCGCACGCCGGTCCGATCCACTTATACCCAATGCAGATCCTCGCTGCCAGTTAAAACAGTCAAAAGTGTCTGCAAAAAATAATCACATTGCATCATGTAGTCGTATAGGGAATAATGCCCTTGTGCAAAAAAGAGGTGAATGTCAACTTGGTAAATGTATTGGATTTTTTTAATGGAATGGCGTTCTGCAGTTGGATGGACGTTTAAGTTCTGTAAAAGATTAATATATACCGAGCCAGTGGTGTTTATTCCTAGTATAGCAAACGGTGCCGAGGAAATCACTTTAGTTACTAAATGTGTACGTTGCACATGAAATAATTAAAATAGATGTATGATTGTTATATTATGCATTAATAAATGTTACGCGATTGAAATATCATTTATAACAGAGGATACTGTACAAAAATGCAACGTAAGAGAAACAATAATCAAATTGCAAGAGGTGGAAATGTAGAAAGAGTCATTCAGTGTTAAGCGCTTGTATGAAAGTGGGCGATGCGAGATCGCAGTCTGGGCGTTTTTGTATTGACTGCTTGCTCTACAGTTGGGATCACTTGGAGCCCTTTGCCTTGAATGCAATATCATTGTTCTCTCCTAATGTCTAATAAGTAAAATGTACTTAAAGATGGATTTCTTCTAGCTGCATATCCCTGCTAGCTACGTTACACAGTCATTAGCGGGTTACAGATTTTACATAGACCGACATTACTAAGCAAAATGCTGGTCACAGTTTTAATTTAATTTTTTTTTTCGGGAAAGCTCATGTTGTTTAGTAAGGTGTATGCCCGTGTTGCACTCCTATGGGTCAGAAATAATATTATAATATCATCTATATATTATGAATTCAACTTTTTTAGCGTGGTTTGATTTTTTTTATCTATAATACTGCATATTCGGGAAAGTTATGGTACATTTGCGGATTCGGTTTAATTCAGTCGGTGGTTTGAGGGCAATATTGTAATTGCTTTATTCATTCATACGAAACGCACGGATAGGGTGCATTTCTGCGAATATGAAATGCTGCCTTTGCGAACTTTCACTTCGCATAACGAACACGCAGCTGAATCCCTGCCGAAGAGTCTTGGTACACAGTGTGCTGTCCGTGGTGCTGACTGCACCCCGCTTTCAGATGGCCAGTGAACCTCCGGGCCAGGAAGACACGCACTCTGTGCTGTGCGAATGTACAGCTGTAAGCATAAAGAACAGCGCCAGCGTTTGATTCTGCCGATTCCTCTGCAAGAGGAAACAATCTGGCCAATTGAAAGATGGACAAATAACCTTAAATGTGGTCACTCTAGACCTTCTGTCAGTAGGCTTTAATGTGAAGCTGAGCTGGGATTAGGGATTAGACTGGTGATGTGTAATAGGAGACGGGGAGATTAGGCCCCAGGCAACTATGTGACAATTACATTGACCCTTAAGGCCAGGGAAACTTAAAAAAGGACTTTCAATTGTTTACAGTTACTAACGGATTCAGCGGAAAGAGGCTTTAATTTTAGGCACGTCCATTATCATGAAGCTCACACATTGACGTCACTTATAAACTCAGGAGTCATGTTAAAAAAAACAGGTAGTTTGAGCAATTTTACACGGACATTTCTCGTGTAACAGAGTATGTTTTGAACAGGTACTGTGTTGTGTGTCCATGGTATGTCAGCCTATATGGCTGGGAATCGCAGTAATTGAATTCCGGTTATATATAATTACACGGCACAGTACGTACAGGGGATGGTATCGATTGTTTATCCATCTGAAGGAGGCTGGGGAGCAGTATTCCTGTGGTTACCCACAGCGAGGGAACGGAGGCGGGGCCTTGACATCCTGCGCAGAGAGCAGCGAGCGAGAGGGGGTGGATCCTCCTGGGAGAGGGATGGGGCTGTGTTAAATACAGACGAGGAAGGGGGCGGGATCGTCAGGAGATGGAGGCGGGGCCTCATGGTTCTGTGCAGAGAGCTGGGGTGGAGTCTAATGGCTCTATGTTGAATGCAAATGTGTAGGAAAAAAAAGCTGGATTGAGAGAGAGGGCCGAAGCTGTGCTGGGCCCCGGCACGCCCGAGTCCTCCACATCCTCCCGCCAATCGCCTCTGGGGCCCCCTCCCTAAAGAGGAGTGGTTCACGCAGCCGAGTGGCTAAGATACTGAGGGGAGAATAGTGATTAAGGGCACTCGACGGACTAGTGGCAAGGGGTCTGCCCAGTCAGGAAGCCACTGCACCCCGAGGACGCCACTTAACCCAGATCGCTTCAGCGAAGGCGCCCAGCTGCGTGTGCAGGCAGCTTAGGAGGGAACATATGCTGGGCAGCATAGCAGGTGCCCCTGAGAATGGAGCCAGGAAGCCGGCAACCGGCGGGCTCTCGCTGCAAGGGACGTGGTCGCTCGCACGCCAAGATGAAAACGCTGGGGGGGCGGGGGAGGCATAAAACATTAGCTAAATGTTTTCTTTTGCACCTCACACGTCTCAGGTAATATCACAGCACTGTGACGTCTTCAGTGTAAGAACTCTGGCATAATAGCAAATTGAAATGGAGTTAGAATGGAGTTACCTTTGAGGTACCTTCAGGGAGAGCGCCCCCTTTAGGAGATGAGTGTTAAAGCCCTCATTCTGTGTTTTTCATATTCAACTGGACCACAACACCTTCCATTGCTAGTCAAGCCTTTCCCGTTTAATTTCCGGACATGAATTGTTATGTAGTCTTCCCCCCTCCACCTTTGTTGTTCCTGTTCTTGGTTGCATGCGCAGGGTGGTAGTTGGGGGGGGGGATTCCTGTACCCGATCGGTGCTCATCGCGGCACATCGCTGCACCACACATTCGGCCCAGACAGGTAAACAGATCCCAGCCGAAAAACTACAACATGGAATCAATGGCTGCATCATTGTGTCTTTTGTTTTGCCTCAAAAGCCGGGTGAAACTCAACGCTGAACATCTCTCCATACAGGAGCTGTTTAAAAATGAATGGCAGGTTAGTAACGTTAATTATTTATAGATCCCTGACAGGTTTCAGCCCAGGAATTGCGATTCCCCCTCTTCACTCGCTTTGCCGTATGATCGGAGCCCAATCTTTCATCTTTCATACGTTATTATATTTTCCTGCTCCCTTCCCCCTCTCTTCTATCTGGAATGCGGTGCAGCCACAGCCTAATTTAGAAGATGCTTATTATTCATCTTTAGCAAAATGTTTGCATGGCTTTTGAAGTAACGTAATAAAGCAGAGGCGGGCGAGCGGCGGGCGAGCAACTGGCGAGCAGCGGGCGCCTGGCGGTTTGTGAGACGGCAATGGTATGAGATCGCACTCACTGTTCCTTTGATCTTTATTAATTGACCACTTTGAATCAAGGAAATGCCTGCACATCTTTGAGATGCAAAGCAGTCGCGTGAAACATAATGGCGGCTTTGAGGGCCGTCATCCCCCTTGTAATCCACATCCTGTGGCCTTACGTAGCACCCGAGATCAAACTCACCTCTCATCCTGGTCCCGAATAGAACTGCCCGGGCAGATGGAATTGTACGACTGGGACTGGTTTTACTCTCTACCAATACGGTACCAGTTCATTGTGACACAATTTCCGACCATCCAACAAAATGGTTTCCTTTCACACATGATTTGTTTAATCACCTTTCATTAGTGAGGACAGTTGTAACAGGGTGAATCATATTGAAGTGAGCTGAAACTGAACAGCCAATATTCCTGGTCACACGTCCTTTATAGCTTCTTCCTGGCTTTGACCCTCGACCAAGATCCCTCCGCTTGGGGAACCTTGTAAGACCACCTCTTCTGCTGGAGGAAAAACAGAACTAGATCCATTTATTCTTGCATCAGGGCCACCCGCTCCTTGCGTGACAGCGATGCATATGAAGCCCGATCTCGATCTGCTCTGCAGCTCGATGGTACATTTTGCCATCCCTCCAGCCAATCCACTTCTCCCTCCGTCCAGAAGCTGCCTGCTCACATGGAAACGTAGGGTCCGCCTCCGCTGATGTCCTGATCTCACAAACAGCTTTGTTTTTTTTACCTCTTAAAGTTTGATTTCCTCACTACTTCCAAAATGCAGTCTTTCATTTTTATGCCCAAACTGCACCTGTGCCCCCAACATTATACACTTGAGAATATCCACATAAAACGTGTGCTGGAGAAGGAACCAGGAGGAAAGAAATACGAACATCTAACACGCATTTATTCCAGCCTCTTATGGGCTTCTCACCGGGGGAGGGGGTGGGAATACAGGGCTTGTGCACCCTAACAGCACTTTCTGTCGGCGTGATGTTCCCTTTAGTGTGATCACTGCTGTGGAACAGCTGGTCACGCTGGGCGTGAGTCGCCCTCACCACACGCCGGCACTGCGGCACACGTGGAGCTGTCCGTGCATCCACTTCTTAAAATGTCAATTCTGCTTTTTTTTTTTGATTCCCTAGAGAAGAATGAAGCTGTTCCGTCATGAATGCCTTGTATGGTGTCCATGCCTGTAATTATGTTGTGATGAGATTGAAGCTGTATATCAAATTTCTAGTTTTATTGTCATCTCTATTCTGAGGGACACGCTGTCATTCTTGTGCCCCAGTTACAGGAGAGGGGGCAGGTGCATGAGGGGGGGGGGGGGGGTGGTGGTCAATAGAAGAGGGAATACTACAAGAACAGTACAATAAAGGACAAATGGAGCTTGTTCCAAAGCTGACAGTTACCATTGGGACCCATGATGCTTTGAGTCATAAACTCCTAGAAGGTAAACCTAAAGTGTTGGACTCTTCAGGCGGCCAAGTGATGCATGGGAAATGGGTGATTTTATTTGGTCCCCTCAGAAAGTAACAGACAGGTTACAAAATGTCACACATGATAAGTTCTTAACCTTTAATTTAAATGCATTGGACAGAAACTCACGTATCTGGAACATTCCTTTCGGTCACTCTCTTAACACACAGCCGTCTTGTCCTTGTCCTATACTCTTGAATAATTAATCACAGGTCAGTAGAGCTGCTTGGCCACTCTCCCCAAAAACATCCACTCCTTCTTAAGATTTCACAGTAAATCGGAGAACTTTTCAGGCTAAGTTAGCTGTGAGTAACATGAGGGTTGTAATAAGCAAAGAAAATTACTCCCGCCCGGTGTTTCCAGTGTAACACAGATGTATTAGTTGTTTCTTATGAATATTTCATTGCTAACCCAGTGCGGCGGCCGAAGCTCAGTGAAGAAGCGTATAGGTCGTCGGCCGTAACAGCTGGTCCCCTGAGTGCTGAAGGTTCCTCTCAGGCTGTGGTGATGTCCCTCTTCACACTGCCCACTTCAGCACCCAGATCCTACAAGCGCACAACTCTAATGGTGCTGATGCGTGTGTTTTGGAAGCTAAATAGGGGTGTTTGGGCGGCACAGTGGTGGCCTCACACTGTCAGGGTTGTGGACTTGATTCCCAACCCCAGCCCTGTGTGTGTGTGTGTGTGTGTGTGTGTGTGGATTATGTTTATATTACATTGTGGGGACCAAATATACCCCACAATGTAATAAAAACTGTTATTTTGACATTGTGGGGACCGTTTTTCAAGTCCCCACAATGATCTGGGAATGCAATCAAAAAACGAAAAATGTCAAGAAGTCTCATATTTTGTTTGGTTATCTATGGTTAACATTAGGTTGGTATTAGAGTTTTCCCCATAGAAGTGAATGGAGAGTCCCCACAAATATATAATTACAAACCTGTGTGTGTGTGTGTGTGTGTGTGTGTGCAATCTGAACGTCTCCCTCGTGTTTGCCTGTGTCTCTCTGTTCAGGTACATGTCAGTTAGTGTCTAAATTGCCCATGCTGTGTGCTTTTGCATTATATGTGATGCACTGGCTTCTGGTTCAGGCTGTTCCCCTGCCTTGTGCCCTCTGTTCCCTGGGATATGCTTCACTGAGATCTGTTAAGATGGTCCTGGAGCTACAGTACCTTCCAGACTCCCAGGAATAGAGGTGAGCTTCCAGAGCTCCAGTGAAATGCTCTTAAGCTGGGGTCTCGATGTCGCAGTGCTGTACATCCAGTGAACTCTTTAGCAGACACACCTAGCAGGTGCCAGGGAAGACTCACTTTTGCCTTCAGAACTGCTTCAAGGCGAGACGAGTTATGCATTCAGAGAGGCCATTCTGCATGCCACTGTTGTATTGAGCTGTTATTTTTGCACTTGTGGCCTTCCTGTTAGCTGTAACAAGATTGCCTATTCTCCCCTGACCTCGTTTTTTTAACAAGGTGTTTTTGTCCAGAGAAATGTCGCTGACTGGCTGTTCTTTGCCTATGGCACCATTTTCCCTATGACACTGTACTGCATGGAAATCCTGGGAGAGGGTGACTGTTTCTGAGGTGCTGGAACCATCAAGTATGACACCAACAATTGCACGACATTCAGACTCACTTCAATCAGGTGTCTTAGCTGCTCTAATGCTTAGCCAAAGAGTAAGTGAACCTCTTGACCCTGTCCTGCCGTGTGATTCGCTGTTTGGATGAGCAGGGTACTAGTATTAGTTAGCAGGGTGACTGATAAATTGGCTTGAGTATAGCCAGCTCCTCAGGTTAAAGTCAGGCCGCTCGATCACGCTCCCACAATTTGCATTTTCTGCAGCTATTTGTATAGCAAGCAAATCAGAGCATGGATGGGCCAGTGCGTCATTCTGGTGCTCGGTTCTGCCATCATTCCGCTGAGTGTGGCTCGCAGGTGCAGGTGCATTGAATTGGCTGGCTCTGCATTTCAGGCATTTCTGCCGCATGCCAGCCCCCTGATTTGTGGCCAACCTGGGGCTCGTACGCGCTGAACTGTTACCTGGCTCAGAATTTTCTTCCCATTTCTTTTCGGTGTCCCTGTAGACAGATACAACGCTCTCATGTTCCAGAAGGGCAATTCCTGTAGCAGATTAAGAACCAATCGGATGAGTGGTGAAGGCCATTGTCCTCAGCCGCATTTCATGAATCACACCATTCTCTCCCCGACCCCTACTTACTACATCCGTGTTTCTCAGCCCAGTCCTCGTGGACCCTAAGACCGTCCCCATTTTTCCTCCTTCCCAGCTCTTTGCCCCCTTAGCCAGACAATCAACCAATCAGGAACGCCACCTGCCTGGTACATGTGTGTTGGGAGCTGGGAGGGAGTGAAAATCTGGGGATCCGGTGACGGTCTGGGGGTCCACAAGGACTGGATTCAGAAGCACCGTACTACATTAGCATTTTTGGGTTGAGAATTCATTTTCTCTTAGTTGCTGTTTCTCTGGTCCTGGTAATGTGCTTTAAGCATTTTTAAACATAATTGCTAAAGTGCTGTGTTGTTGTTTTTTTCTGTTTGTTTTTTTTTTATATATATTAAATACTTCTAGGTCCCTAAATGTACTTTTCCCAAAACATTAAAGTGTAACTCAGTAGCCAGTAACATTTGTGATGATGGTGTACTTTAGAACAGCTGGACACTTGGGAGATGCAGAATTGCTAAACGCTGCAGAGGTCAACGTTCAGCGCCGCCGGTGTAAACTGTGGCAGTCTGGTGTTTTATGATGAGGCCGACAAATATCCCCAGGTGATGAGACTCCTTCAGATAACCTCTCTCCGAGACGGGAGGTGGGTGCTGAAGAAGCTGGCCGCCAGCGCCTTGCGGCCTTGCAGCTCTGTGCAGCCGCTTCTGCCGTGTCCGTGTGTCTGTGTTAGGGTTGTTTCGGGATATCGCCATATCGCACGCGTCTAGCTGGAGCTCAAGTCATCTCTGTGACATCGGTCCATTTACTATGAAAATAACAGTGCCTATCAGTGCCCCCCGTTTAATTTATCCGGGGAAGGCGGCATGCCACGGTTATTGATCAGCACTCGCGGTAATTATTACCACAAGTAATTATTCTCATCAGGCAGATTCATCATATGTGACCCGTTTTGTCAACATTGAGAAAAGCCTTGTCCGGGAGTGTATAAACCAGCGCAAATTCCATCTAAATTAATATAGTTGAGATACTTCATTTAATTCACTTTCCCACTCCTCATTTGGCAATGTTTTCATCACAGACGTCAAGCCAAGGCGTAAATGTCAGCTACGGCACATCCCTGTCGCATGACTGTGAGCGACAGAGGGGAGAATTTATAAAGGCAGCCCGGGGTCGTCGGTGGAAGCGGACAAGTACCGGCGTGAATTTTCATATATTGCGGTGTCAGCGCACAAAATAGCTGTTTGGTCTCTATGTCATTTGAGGCAGAAACTCAAGGGAAGCAAACCAATATAAAACTGATTATGGTTCGGCAATAGCTGGGAGCAGAGCAGCTAAAATAGACAGTAATATGATATTTATTGCATTTATCAAAACAGAGTACAGCTTACATCTTAACCCTTACTTTATTGGAGTATTACTAAGGGTTTAACAGCCGTCCCTCTTTAGGAATTCAAACCGTTGACTACTTGGTTGCACGTTTTGTTCATTTTGATCACTAGCCTGCATTAAGCGGAGTCACGTGCTGTGTTATTTTTGCGGCTTTTCCCGGGCTTACCTGACCAAGCTGGGCGCGAGGATTCGCCCGCAGCCAGTGGGGAGATTCCGGGCTTCTGAAGATCCGCGCCAAACTCCGCTTCCTGTGTGCGCGAGGCTTAGCACAGCGTGACAGAGCCGTTCACAGCGATATGTGGTGCCAGCAGATGATTGCCATGTTTACCCCCCAGCAATGCGTTCTCCTAACATCGCCAGTTGGTTTCTGAATGAATTGGAAGCCATATTTACCCTAGAGTTCTTCTCTAAGCAGCGATTTAATAACACTGTTTGAACATATGAAACAAAAATTGTGATATTTTACCTGTAGATCTATAGTTTAATGGCCTGTTTGTCATTTTAAGGGTGGGAGTAACTCATTTTTTTCACAATGGATCGGAGTAACATTTGTAATAAGGTCAAAACCACTAATATATATCTTGTTTTATTAGAAAACATGACCATTTCTGTGAAATGTTTTGCACTGCTTACCGTGACCCTGCACTGGATGAACAGTTGATTGATGAATATGATGATGCTATTTAAATGCATTTTGTTACCCAGAAATGACAGCTCTGTAGGACTGAAGTCATCTGGTAGGTGGTATAGAGCTATTGTATGTTGTTTGTCTCATAAATTAACCTAGTTTACTAATTAATTCCTAATTAATTCATGGTGCTGATTCATCTTTTCAGAGTTGTCTAGATTATTTGCATCATTTAAAATGATATATGTTGATCAAAGGTTTAATTTTTTGTAGGTTTTACTGGGACTTGATCATGCTTATTATGATGATGGGAAACCTAATAATTATTCCTGTGGGAATAACCTTCTTCACGGAGCAAACCTCCACGACCTGGATGATATTCAACGTGGCCTCAGACACCATCTTTTTGGTGGACCTAGTCATGAACTTCAGAACGGGGATCGTCATCGAGGAGAGCTCAGAGATCATCCTCGACCCCAAGGTCATCAAGAGGAACTACCTGAAAAGCTGGTTTGTGGTGGACTTCCTGTCCTCCATACCCGTGGATTACATCTTCCTGATTGTAGAGAAGGGCTTCGACTCGGAGGTCTACAAGACGGCACGTGCCCTGCGTATTGTCCGGTTCACAAAGATCCTCAGTCTGCTCCGGCTGCTTCGGCTCTCCCGCCTCATCAGGTACATCCACCAATGGGAGGAGGTAAGGCGTGCCTGCATCTGCCAGCATTCACATCTGATGTCATGTAAAAAAAAAAAAAGATTAAGCAGGAGCCGAAGCAGAAGCATAGGCCTCCTACTGCTTGCCCTGTGATGTCACGGTGGCTTCCTGGAGGATATCTAACTCAATGACTTCATAACACTACATAGAATTAGGATGCCTGGGGGAGATTTTTATTAATAGGGGTCCCACATTCACTTTGGGTTATGAATCATCATTTTACATAAGATGGATTCTTTATACCGCTCTTTATGATCTAGTTGGTTATTAACATAAAACTGATATAATTCCCAGACTCAGCTCTGCTTAATTCATTGATCTTGTATCTTTTTAAGCAAGCCAATGGCTGTCTTGAGTTTTGAGAGTTGTATGGGCTGCACTGGGGAAAGGCTGAGGCCATTACAGCAGACAGATAAATTGGGAGAATATGGTGGAAGCTTCCCTGTGATGTCGGCTCTCCCAGAGGTGTCTGAGAGGCTCTGTTTTGCCTGTCCTGTGTTGCCCCACCGCAGACAGGGCTTGAATTACCCTGACTTGACCTTAATAGGATAGCTGTTTGTTTTGGCATCCAAACACCACGTTGTTTGTTCAAGCCCAGATTCCGAGCCCTCAGCTCTGGGAAAGGTACACGGACATAACGTGTGATTATCTGAAGCTGCTAACACTGTAATATAAGGTGTGCCAGACATTGATGTGCACAACATTACCTACCCCCAGCCCTGTGTATAGCCTTGCACAGAGCTACATGCATAGTACAATACACGTTGAATAAACCAAATATGCTTCTTCACGTGGAGACTAAAACCACAGTTTCCAGACTTACCACATGCATCTATGCAAATGTCGTCCAGACAAGTAATTTCACCAGTACCAGGTCTGCCCTTTTCACCTTGGCTAGGCTTAACGATATGTACCAGGCTGAAGGATCCTTACCAGGCTAAGAGATACAAATGGGATACCTACCAGGGCAAAAGATACAAACAGGATACCAGTTTGGACAAAGGATACTTGGCAAGTTAGAAATGCTTGCCAGGCTAAGGTCTGCCTCTTTCAGGGCTTTCACGGGATCCCTTCAACAACTGTTCCCACTTGCTTCGATTGTCCACTGTAGATTAGATTAGATTAGATTAGATTGACTTTATTAATCCCACAATGGGGAAATTCTTTAGAAACAGCAGCAATAATAAAAAAGACAGTAAAACAGGAGGGTCGATTTGGTAAAGGCATCACCAAGTTAAGAACTTAGTGATTAATTGTCATTGTTGACACACTACAGCAAAATGTGTTCTCTCCATTTAACCCGTATGTGACATAGCAGGGGCCAGCTAATTCGGTGCCCAGGGGTAGTACCTTTCTGGTCAGGGATTCAAACCTGCAATCTTTCAGTTACAAGTACACGTCCCTAACCATTAAGCCACCACTGTCTAATCTGAGCTCGGTGACATAACCACTTCAGTTTGGTCATGCTTTCGACACTGCTAGGAAACAGGGCCATGTCAGCGCAGGTACGGCTGGCATAATATACAATGGAAAACCGTTTCTTTGCGGTTTGGCCCAGGAACGCCTCAGTTCTCAGTACCAGTGGAAAAGCACTATTAGTCTTGCTGGATCTCCCATGGTCTTTTATATTAGTCTCTCATATGCCCCTCACAAGGTCTCCCTCGTTCTCTCGCAGGATCTTCCATAGTCTCTAAAGTGCCTCTCACAGGGTGTTCCTCGATTTCTCACAGGAACTCCCTCAGTCTCTAATATACCTTTAACAAGTTATGTCTTGCACAGGGCCTCACTCAATTTCTAACAGGGTTCCCATATTCTCACATATCCCTCTCACAGGGTTTCCCATGGTCTCTGGTATGTATCTCATAGGGTTTCCCTCAATCCCCCATATGCCTCTCACAGTCTCCCTCAGTCCTTCAATGGGTCTCCCATGGTGTCACATGTACCTCTCACAGGGTCTCCCTCGTTCTATCATATGCCTCTCACAGTCTCCCTCAGTCCTTCAATGGGTCTCCCATGGTGTCACATGTACCTCTCACGAGGTCTCCCTCAGTCTCTCGTATACTCTATACAGGGTCTCCCTTAATTTATTACACGGTCTCCCTCAGTCTCTCGTATAGCTTTCATGGGGACTCCTTCCATTTGTCATATGGGGTTCATGGCGACTCCTTCCATTTGTCATATGGGGTTCATGGCGACTCCTTCCAGTTGTCATATGGGTGTCTTAGGGACTCCCTCTTTTTCTCATATGGTTTAACATGGTCTCCCATGGTGTCTCGTATACCTTTCACAGGGACTCCTTACATCTGTCATGTGGGTTTCATGGGGATCCCTGCCTTCTTTTGTATGACTTTCACAGAGACTCTTGTATGGATTTCTTACAGAATTCCTTAGTCTCTCGTGTGGCTTTCAAAGGAACTTGTTTTCATTACTCCAAATTTTCTAGTTCCTCGGGACTAGTTTCTTGACTGACAAAGCTTTGAGAGTGTACTGCCCAGCGTTCCATGCGGAGGCTTGTTCCCACCTTGTCAAAGGGCTTTTACAGGTCCAGAGGTCGACCGAAAAGACAAGTATATAGACTAAGAGGTACCACAACATTTCTGCCACTTAGTTACTGTGCACTGAGAGAGAAGCAGTTTTGAGTGAGTCAGCTCATCCCAATGGAACCCAGCCAAATGTCCAGTCATTTGGCACTTGTTTAACACGGGGGGGGGGGAGGACTTGACTGATAATATTAGAACTATGTTTTTTATGTGTACAATGTTGAAATATTGTGTATATAAACTTCTTTCAGGAAAGCATGGTGACTCAGCATTAATGGTGCTGGTTTCCATGGAGCTGAAGGACACGGTTGCAGTGATGTATATATCAAATTCTACCATCAGAAGTGGAGTTTGGGATTTATGACACTAGTCATTATTTTACAGTGCAAATACCTATAAAAATTCTATAGCTACTGTATATTTTTAAAATGCCTGTATACATTTTCTATTAGTAAAGATGACTTATCTATTAATATTCCTGCAGTAATGTGGACTGGATCAGTTCTAAGGAATTACTTTAGAGCGTAGCTGTTGACTATCAGTAATTTATATTCTGTCAGAAAGGCTGTCCCATATCCAGCAAAGGTTTAGTTCAAATATGACTTCTGGATCTTTGCCAGGTCCTGAATGCACGGAGCAGATCATCCTTCCTCATTTGGATCTGTATGGTTTCCAGAAATGTCACTTTAGGGTTTATGAGAAAGAGTCTGAAACTGGAGAACCAGAATTATTCAGACATGGGCATGGGTCTGGTTCCAGCCAGCCTGCTGTCCCATATGTAGCGGTTTTCTCTGAGACCCAGTGGCGTTACACTGTCTCGTGCTCCATTTCCCCAGCAGTTGAGGAGGCGTTTTTGCCAAAAGACACCCGGGAGTTGTATCCCGATGCTCTAGGTGAAATGATGCCAGTCGAGTGTCTGTTTCTCGACAAGATGTGCTGCCGGGTGTGCTGTCAGAGCGGGGGCTCTTTCCAAAACCTTTCGCGTGAGCCGTTCTGTCAAAGCTCCCTACCGTCGCTCCTCCCCGGGCCAAGAACTCCATCCATGCCAGTGTGGGCTGCTGATCTGGGCCATTTCCAGTGCCTAGGAGCAAAGGCCATAGGCGAGAGAGTGAGCTGAGGCAGCGAGATGCAAGTGTGAGCGGCCAGGTGCTGTGAGGGGAGGAGTCCGCTTCTCGTGCTTCATGCATGACCTGCGAATGACGTTTTCTGTCTTCGGGTAGCCACTTGTACTGAAGGAAAAGTGCTCTGAGGGCCGGTCTTTTTCCATCAATGCTCGAACATCTCAGTGAGTTTCAGGGGATTCAGGTAATATAGGTTGGAGGGAGAGGGGGCTTGTGGCCTATTGTGGAGGGAATTATATAGTCGCGGCCAAAAGTTTTGAGAATGACACAAGTATTGGTTTTCACAAAGTCTGCTGCCTTCATTTTACGATGGCAATTTGCATATACTCTGCCTGGACAAACAAAACCCCACTAATTCTGACAAACTCCAAGCATTAATTATGCAAGAATGGGCGGCCATCAGTCAGTATTTGGCCCAGAAGTTGATTGACAGCATGCCAGGGTGGATTGCAGAGGTCTTGAAAAAGAAGGACCAGCACTATTGACTCTTTGCATAAACTTAATGTAATTATCAATAAAAGCCTTTGGCACTTATGAAATGCTTGTAATTGTATTTCAGTACTCCATAGAAACATCTGATAAAAAGATCTACAAACACTGAGGCAGCAGACATTGTGAAAATCAATACTTATGTCATTATCAAAACCTTTGGCCACGACTGTACTTAGAATGAAAGGGTTCCAAGTTCTAGTTCTGAGAGAGGTATCCTTTGCGAAGTTGGTGACTGGAATTGATTCTGTAAACACTCACGAATCTGTAAAGAGAGTGGCTTGGATTTAAGGCTCCACATAATGGACCTGAAAGCAATTTAATGATTCAGGTTCTACTAGCTCTGGGCCCCAGGGCATGTCTGCAGCCCTGCGGAAGGTGAACCAGGGAAGGCAGGGATTAGAATGACAATGAGAACATGGTGGCCTCTCTGGGATAGGTGTGATACTGGCATGACTCTTTGGGTGTGTCACACATGCACGCAGGTCGGACGTCGTGGATGCAGCAACGTTTTCATGTGAGCAGAGGTAGATCAAGATGTAATAGTCCAGCAGTGTTACCAAAAAGCACACATACACATGTATGCATATGACACACACAGGTTACTGTTCACAAGCCTGCATTCTCACTTACATAGCAGCACCCATGTGTCCATGGACATCTGTGGAATTAGCAAATCCCCAAGTGGCCATTTGGCTCTGATGTTCCGTCATCTCAGAGAGATGGAAATGGAGCAGTATAGGGGTTTAGATGTAAAACCAGCAAAATGAGGTGACATGGCTTTTAACAGAAGGTCAGGCTTTTCCTCAGACTTATATGTGCATAAGTAACGTGTGTAAAAAGCAGCAGAATGGACTGATAGCTCTCGATGATGCCACACAGCATTGCTGCACCGGTTTTGCTTTAGCTACCCAATTTAATAAAGCATGTTTTTATGCTGTCATTTGAATCGGGGTCCCGGTCGAATCACTGGATCCGCCAACCCACAACTGTAAATGTGAATAATATATTCAGTCACCGGAAAGATCAGGCACACTCCCCTGTATGCTTTGCCAACACTGCAAATGTCACGTTTTAATATTTCTCTGCTCAAACATGACAAGCGTCAAATATTGGTATTAAACAGGGACCTTGGCGTGACCCGTTCTGCCAGATGCCCAGCACTTGGCTCTCCAGATTAAAATCGTTATAAAAAAATGTTAAAGAACATAAACAAAAGCCCCGATCCTTATAAACGATGGGGTCCGCATCCCCAGACCCCAGTAGAAGGACGGCATGCCGGCTCCTGTGTACCACCCCTAAGTGTCCACTTGTATTTAAGCACAGCTTACTGATTCTGCTGGACGCACCCCCCCCCAGTGAAGGTTGCAAGCAGAGCTCTTTGACTGAAAGTCCTGAAGGGTCCGTGGCCGCAACATGAAGGAGCTCAAACCAGGTGTATCACTAGAGATTTTGGCCAAATCAAAACATCATTTAGGGCCCCAGGGACCCTTGGATTCATCTTAACCCCCCCCCCCCACCCCATTAGGGCTCCCCTGCCACAAATGATATTTTGGCTTGAATCTCACAGTGCAGCAAGGCAAATATTTTTCTTGAGACCCAGAGAATTTGGAGGAATTTAATTGCTTTTTATAATCTTTCAGATTAATTTCACTTGTGCAACAAAGAAAAAAAAAAAACTGAAAAGCACTATAGTCCAATACGATGAATTATTTACTAAAAAAAATACAAGTTACAAAATAGGGAAAAAATGGGGGTTTTCTAAGGACTGGTCCAGTTCTGTGGTTGAATTTAGACTTCTAGGTTCTTTCATTGAACCCAAAACTGGTTTAACTGCTGAATTTGCAGCTCATCCCTGTAAAATTAGTCAGCCATCTTCAATCTTAAAAACTCTCCGCAGTGACATTTATACATTGTTTTGAAAAAGCTTTAGCATTTACTGGCACTACTAAGCATTATTCCTCACTGCAACATAAAATAATTTCAGCTGCTGAATTCTTACACAACATGGGGGCACTTTGGAAGCAGACATCTTGAGTTGGTGGCCCTACGGCTGGTTGATACAACTTCATACCAGGAACATTAGTGTGTTATTTACAGTATGGGTAATAGTCTTCTGGCATTCCAAGAAGGCGGGCAAAGGCTGGCAAAGACCAGGAAGTTGGTCCCAGGAAGCACAGGGCACAAGGCAGGGGATACTGTGGACGAGATGCCAGTCCATTTCACACTCCACAGGCAGATTAGAAATTCCAGTTCACCTATCACCTTGTTCTTGGACTGTGGGCGGGAACCACACTCAGCCAAGAGAGGTCATTGACCCCAAAAGCCTGGAGGGGTACGGCTACATTGAGACACCATATTGGCCACAAAGCATATATACGGCGGAAGTAACCTGACCCATGGGAAGCGAAAATATAAAACTTGTTGAATTAAAACATTAAAAAAAGAGCATAAAATCATCACATCCTGTCCTTGATGTTGCCCGCCTCTCGCTTCTTGGGGTTAGTTCCATGTTTTCTGGCACATTGCATTATGGGTAATCTTGTAAGCTTTGTTTTTGTTTTTGGGACCGACTGGCAAACCTTGAAATGTGCCTTTGCTGTATAGTGCAGAGCAGGGGCGTCAAAAGCATTTTGAATGTGGGGGGGGACACACTGGCATAAAAGTAATATTTTATGTTAAATGTGGGGGGGTCCAAACGAATAATTATGAAATGTTAGGGGGACACGTCCCCCTCAGAGTTAATGGTGGCGATGCGCGTCCTGCAGAGTCAGATTGAGGACAGTCAGTGTTTGTGTTTGTGTGCACATAGGCGTGTGTGTGTGTGAATCTGACACTCATTCATGCTTACACATTCACACAGTCAATACACACTGACCCAGTCGCAGGATATGTATGCACTGGTGTGTCCTCTGTCAACTGGGATCAGCTGGCCGTGCTGAAAGAGCGTAGGAAGTCTGTTTAAGATGGAGGACCTCCTGCTCATTTTCTTAGGCTGCCGCGTCCAATTAACACTGTCCATTAAAGATGTCCATGGGGTTCTCAGTGCAGACACTGATAATTGGATGATAAAGTTGTTAATTAGGATGAGCCTGAGTTTGTACACAAATCCACCTGAGTCACTGTGCAGTGACCCCAGTCTAGAGTGTGTGTTTATGACGACCTGACGATTTGTGTGAAGCATTAGTGATTCGCTGGAACTGCACGGGTTCCTGTGTTCTGCGGTTCAGTCTGGAACATGTATCAGCTGTCTTCTCTGCTCAGCATCATACCGGTGGTTTGGGACGGGGGACAGCAAACCCCCCCCCCCCCCCCCACCCACCACCGTCTTCTGCTCCACCCTGCCGAGTCAGAGCTAGGATAGGCCCCCGGTGACCAATCAGGAGGGAGCAGACACACCACTGACATCTAATGCAGAGATGGTGTAAAGACAGTCCCAGGGATCTGAACATGCTGTTCTGTGCCTCACCGCAGCCATGGGGGGGGCGAGGGTGGGGGGGGGGGCTCTGCCTTTACCAGGCATTCCATCATTCTGCTGGTGTGGCTAAAGAAGTACCAGGCCATGCACCATCGCCCAAAAGGCACAAACAGAGTGATTAGAGAGGTCAGAGCTGGTCTCTGGGGGGGGGGGGGGCACTACCAGTGTCCAGCTGGGAGGGGCTAGCATACACAGGGTTTCTTACTCCTCTAGGTTGTGGGGGGTGATTAATATACACACACAGTAATGATAAATTCCCAAACCACTCACTTTATTGTGAGCTGGTCTGCTACCCAGCTTCCTGGTGTCCCTGGGGGCTCTTGGGGTGAAATGAGAAAATGGCACATCGGCGATTGGCCTGCTGTAGCAGCATTAGTGCTCGTAGCCTTCAGCGGCAGGTTCGCTCTGACCCGGACGCGGTCCGACAGCTCGCAGTCCTCCTGAGGCGGACAGCAGACTGGACGGGAAGCTTGACTCGGAGAGTCTGAGCCTGGAGCCTTTGCAAATATGAGATCAAGAAGGCAACAGCACCCCCCCCCATCACCAAAGCTGAACCTTTCCTTGGTAACAGCTCCTAGTACACATCACCTGTGTGGGAAGAGGGGGGTGCCTGTGAAAAAATGCTTTTTATTGCCATTTGCACATCTACCGGCACATTTGAATGCTTCTTTTCAGATTCCCCTCCTTGCTCACCTCTTGAGAGACATACACTTAAATACACACAGTTGAAAGTTTGTGCAGAGGGGCAGGACATTTATCTGGTGCCCCTGGAGCATTTCAGGGGATTAAGGGCCTTGATCAAGGGCCCAGCACAAACCCCCCCCCCCCCCCCCCGTAAGGTCGTAAGGTAGGCATGGCCCCCAAAATGTAGGACATGGGAACTGGCTGGAACCTAAGACCCACCACTGCTTCTTCTTCACAGAGCCAAGCTGAGATCCTCGGGTCCTGATGACTAAGTGCTGCCTATCTCCCTTCCCTCCCTCCACAGATCTTCCACATGACCTATGACCTGGCCAGCGCAGTGGTAAGAATCTTTAATCTGATTGGTATGATGCTGCTGCTGTGCCACTGGGACGGCTGTCTGCAGTTCCTGGTGCCCCTCCTCCAGGACTTCCCGCCAGACTGCTGGGTGTCCCTAAATGGTATGGTTGTAAGTATTGGCGCTTCTTCATGGTGTTCGTTTATTTTTTTTCTCCCTCTCCCCGCCACAAAACGTTGCCTCTGTCGCGTTTTGTGTCCTGGGTAGAGGTGAAGCCGCTACAGCCTGTTTATCGAGGAGAGGAATCGGATGGACATGGACGGCATGGTTTTTAATATTGTTGTCACTGCACTCGTTTATCCCTAAAGAAATTTAAATTGGATTTGACTTATCGGGCAGCTGTTATCCGAGGTAGCTCACTCCCCCCACCCCCCCGGGGGACGAATTTCCCGAAATGAATGCTGAATAGTTTGACCATGAGTAGCTAAAGTGTTTAAAGTAGTTTATAGCTGTACGTTAATCGATTTCTGCTGATATTCAGTGGAGCGCATTAATAGGATTTACGTACAAAAAATAATTTCAGGAAGTTTAGTCGCAGTGTAGCCTCACACCTCCAGGGCTTGGGGTTTAGATTCCCGCCCTTGGCTCATCCAATTAGCTAATATGGGAAAAATTTTAATTTCCTGATCCTTTCAATGAGGGTGTTCAAGTAATATTTTTGGCACATAATGTCTATTAAAAAACAAGGGCATCAGAGTGGCTTGGTGGGTGGAACTGTGACCTCTCCCAGACATGCATTCCCTTGTTTGAATGGGTTCAGAAGTCCAAAAATATGCATTTAGGTGAACCGGTGTCTCTGAATTGTCCTTAAAGTGTGTGCAAAGGGGCGTGCAGTCTGTGCAGGGCGTCCCCTGCCTTGTGCCCTGTTCTGCACAGGATAGACTATAACCTCACTGCGAACCTGCATTGGAGAAGCAGTTATGGAAGATGGATGGATAATTTACATTAACCAGATACAGCGTTCTCGTATTATTGTCATCCCGCATCTCGAAAAGAACAGTCAGTGCACTGCGAATGAGCATGAGTTATAACCTTCCCATTACCGATGATTCTGCATGTGACCAATCCCATTCTATATGCATTGAAAGCCATCGGATCGTGGTCTTCATTAAAGTGACTCTCTGCACTTAATGTGAAGAAGACAGAGTTAACTGTGAGCTATCGCGAGCGGCAGCGAGCTTATAGCGATCTGTGTACGCAATGCTACCACTGTGAACGATGCAAACGATCGCATGCGACACAGTGCAGAAGAATCTGGGTGCAAAAGGTAGAATTGTTCATATTTGTCTGTTGCTGAGAGTCAGGATTCATTAGGTCAGCCGTTTGTAACACGCTGATTTATTTATTATACCTTCGTGCAAAATACTGCAGTGATTAGGACCACATGAGCAAAGAGAGGCAGTCAGGATGCGTCACCTGGGCTTGTTTAGGCGAAACGTCTGGCTGAGTAAACAGGGCGTGGGGAGAGGCGGGTAAATCAGTAAATCAAACAAAGACAAGGGCATTCGCTAATCGGCTCAATCCCATTCTACTCTAAAGGCAGTACCCTGGCTGTTCTTGTGTCCTGGGAAGACAGCACGACATCACTGCCACCCTAACAGACCTGCTGGGCGACAGTGGTCTACGTGCGACGCAGCCGGGGGCCTTTTCGGGCACCAGAGGGCTGAGATTCAGGGCTCAGATTGGTCAGCCTGGCAGCCGTTACATGACGATGGGGATTCTGAGTGAGGAGCCTGCTATTAGCTACTAATGCTGCCTACAGCTTGTTTTTGCACAATCATATATAACCACAAATAAAATAAACTAATAAAATAAACAGCAAATTATAACTAATTTAAGTTACAAATAAATTCCCTGTAAATTGATCTCATTAGCATAAAAAAGACACTTTAAAGATTTATTTTCTCTTCCTGGGAATATTCATTGGGGATACCAATAGGGGTAAACTCGTTTACAGTCTACAAAGCGCTAATATGCATCTCATTGATTTCTTAATTAGCTCCTTAGCATGTTCTCCTGCAGAAGTACTACAGCCTGCATTTGCCTGGAGCGCGTTATGTACATTGTAATAGCAGCAGTCTCAGCCGTCTTCTCAGTCTTCAGTCTAAACTGCATTAATTATAAACACAAGCTTAAATTTAGGTAGGAATGACTCAGGAAAACCGTTTTGAAAATCCTGGAAAGTGTGTGACTTGTAGCAAATTTATGAGTAGTATTTTCTAGAGGATAGATGGGATATAATTTGCTTTGCGGTAGGTTTTAGAGACGCAGCATCGTTTAAAGCCAGTGCTGCCCTCATGGACGTAACTGATTTGATATAGTACTGCTTTTTATTCTAACCCTCTACGCCTTACCCTGCAACTATAGGGTAAGAGTTTCACTGTACCCACATTTTCTTTACCCACTGTATCCTATGTTGGGATATGGGTGTCTGGAACCTATGCTGGACACCTATGGACAATTTGGCAACTGCATTTCACCTTAGCATATTTTTGCATATTAGCGTATTAACTATGAGGGGAAATTGGAGAACGCAGTGGAAACCCCAGGATGACAGTAGAAAAACAAGCAACTTGACACACAGAGTTCCAAAAGAGTGTGAGACAATAGTGTTAACTACCACACCACACTGCCTCCTCAGGAAACATCCGTCAATTTTCTGTGGGGGGGGGGGGGGGGCTGGATCCTAACCCGGAATAGCAATATGTGCCAATCCTGCCACTGCGAACCATGCAAACAATTGCATGCAACACAGTGCAGAAGAATCTGAGTACGAAATGCACAATTTTTTTATGCTTGGCTATTACTGAGAGTCATTACTCATTAGGTCAAGAGTCTGTAACATGCTTATTTATTTATGCTTATTTACTCACTCACACATACACACCTACGGACATTTCGGTAACTTCAATTAGCCTCAGCATATTTTTGGACTGTGGGGGGGGGGGGAGCACCAGAGTTCCCTGAGGAAACCCCACGACAACATGGGGAGAACATGCAGACTCCACACGCATGGAGCCGTGGTAGAGTCTCAGCCCTGGTTCCGGAGGTGTGAGGCAGCAGCGCTAACCACTGCATGCTAACCACTGCATGCTAACCACTGCACGCCCCCCAGAACACATATGAGAGTAGAACTTTAAACTTGAATGTTATGTTGTAATTTGCCTGGTGTGTTTGCACCATGACTCCCTGAAGTATAAGAAAGGTCCATATCCTTATTGTAATGCCTCTGGATAACATTTCCTCTCTTCCGGGGGGTGGGGTGGGGTGGTGCTGCCTCTCATCTTGACGTTAAAACCATCACACTAGCAGGGCATGGAGAGGGAAGGCAAGATCTCAGTCATGAAGCGTCTCTAGCGTGGCCTTATTCCTAGGGCCCAGGGGGAGACAGAAATCGTTTTTATTTTGTCTGATGACAAGGCCATTAGCATTCTGGGCTGCAGAGGAGCTGTGAGCATTATCGCTGAGCTCACAGACACAGACAGACACAGACAGACACATACATACACACACACACAGACAGACACACATACAGACAGACAGACACACACAGACACACATACAGACACAGACAGACACACAGACAGACACACATACAGACAGACAGACACACACACACACAGACAGACACACACACACATACACACACAGACAAACAGACACACACATACACACACACACAGACACACACACACAGACACACATGCACACACACACATACACACACACACAGACAGACACACACACACACACACATGCACACACACACATACACATGCACAGACCTGTGCTTATATCTTTGGGGGCCTGTTCATTCATTTCCATGGTAAAACCCTAATCCCAGCAATGACAACCTTAACCCCTTCCCACCCCTAACCTTAACCATAAGTATCTTTCAGCATTTTTAGTTTTTTGATTGCAGTCAGAGATTTTTATAAAATTGAATTTCCCCTTGTGGGGACTGAAAAAATGGTCCCTACAAACATCAAAGCATTAAGTCCCCACAATGTAATGCATGCCTGAACCACACACACACCCATACAGACACATAACAGAAGTGCTACAGGTTATTTAAGGTTCCAGAAAAGGAGCAGCCTAGTTGAATCTGACCCCATCTTCAGGACTTGGGGTTGACCACTGGATTCTTTGGAGAGGCCTTTGGGGGGGTGTTTAAGTTTAAGGCTTTAAAAACTTGAAATCATAGAAAATGTGTTTCCTTACAATTTACAGTGATAAAAAATACTGTTGGCATTGGGTGACAGCCTGTGTGGGACCACACTTGTGATTGGATGGACCAGGCCCAACCGGGGCCCCCATGGAGCTAGCCTTAGCTGGTGTAATCCAGCCCATAATCCAACAGTTCAGTTTTCAGGTATACAGGAAGTAACAGTGTACTTTTTTCGGGGGCAGGGACACCCATTATATTTATAAACTGAAATTCGGTTCACCGGTTTTATGCTCATTCGCTCTGCAGGGGGCGGTACTGAGCATTCTTTCAGCTTTGAGAATGCTGTAAGAACGGCACTCAGCCAAGAAAAGATTTACAGTTTTTTCCAATCATTTTCACACGTGTCTCAATACCATGTCCACTTTTTCAAAACACTTAACACAGTGGGCTGTACCAATACACAACTGAGCACACCACTTAA